AACGAATTGATACGGAGAAGAACGAATTGCCATGGATTTATACGGCCCTAATAGACATCCGTCCACAACCTCTTTTTGCTCATTTTCAAATTGCCTCACAAGAAAAGAACACCTAGAAACAAATTGCAGAGTTCAATGATTTTGGCGGAGAGGATTCGGCCTAATCGCGTCCAAACCCCGAGACACATCAGGTCCGATTAAAGTTGATTTTTTGAAGGACGCTGGATCCTCAACAAGTTCGGCCATGAGAGCCTCGTACTTAACGTGAAGCGGTCTTCGTAAAAGCCCATTTCTAGTCCACCATCTCGTCTGTCTTCTTTTACCTGATTAGATATAGACTAGTAATCATAAAGGAAAAATGTTCATCAATACTGCTTCTCTTTTAATTTTAAAATTTGCTGTTCATTTTACAATTACATTAATTATCGTGAATGTTTATGTTTTAAAAATATGTAAAAAGCTTGTTAATTAATCTTATTATCACTGAAGGCCAGCGTCCGAGTCTTATGAGAAACTTAAAATATGTAGCATTAAATGTTATTCTATTACTTATGTATGAATTGTAGTACGATATTAATACATTTTAACCTCTATGCATGTCATCAAGCAGCTCGACCACTGCCTCCGCATTCTGAGCCATTTCAATATAAAGTTGCAGCCAGTAAATGGCAATTATCATTTATTGAATGTTCCAACAAATATGTCTTTTTTTTTAAATTTTATACCCTTGAAAAAGTACATGATACTTAATTCATCCGTACTTAACAGTAGTGGACCGTACCATTCCGTACCGTTTCGTGTTGCAACGCATTAAACCGTATAAGACCGTGCTAATCCTTGCCTCTCCGTAGAACAACGTATTACAATCGTGGCTTTCCTTGGCAATGCCGTATTAATCCGTATTAAAACCGTAGCTTATACGTAGTTCTCCGTACCAAACCGTGGAAAGTTGGTGGACTACGAATCAGTACGGACTAGTACGGTTTTCGTACGGACCAGTACGTATCAGTACGGTTTAATACGGACTAGCAGGGATACGCTACGGTTGATTTTTCCGTAGCAAATTTTTGTGCATGTTCAAAAATTGTCAAGGATCGCTACGGATATACAAGGACTACTACGTTTGATTACGGTTACAGTACGGAGAGCTACTGACCAGTACGGGTAGCTACGGACGATGCCGGAATTAATCCGTGGCTCTTCCGTGGGCGTTTTCCGTGAATATGTGACCGGGGTATTTTTGTAAAGTCAAATATCTCAATTATTGCTTGAGATATTCAATTGAAACTTACAATACTTATTAATAGTAACAAGGTTCATCAGATAGACAAGTTTGATAACTCTGCCTACAATATTGACAGAATTATGCCCCCTTTTAACTTAGAAATTTTGGTTAAAGTTTTTTGTAAAGTCAAATATCTCAATTATTGCTTGAGATATTCAATTGAAACTTACAATACTTATTAATAGTAATAAGGTACATCAGATTGACAAATTGGATAACTTTGACTACAATATTGACAGAATTATGCCCCTTTTTAACTTAGAAATTTTGGTTAAAGTTTTTTATAAAGTCAAATATCTCAATTATTGCTTGAGATATTCAATTGAAACTTACAATACTTATTTATAGTAACAAGGTACATCAGATTGACAAGTTGTATAACTCTGCCTACAATATTGACAGAATTTTGCCCCTTTGGAACTTAGAAATTTTGGTTAAAGTTTTTTTGTAAAGTCAAATATCTCAATTATTGCTCGAGATATTCAATTGAAAATTAAAATACTTTTTTATAGTAACAATGTACATCAGTTTGCAAAATTGCATAACTCTGCCTGCAATATTTGCAGAATTATTTGCCCCTTTGAAACTTAGAAATTTTGGTTAAAGGTTAAAGGTCTTCAAAGATATTTACTTGAAACTTTACACATGCACTTAGGGTCATAATTGGAGGGTCATAATTGTATGTCACTGACCAAGTTCCATAACTCTATCTTGCATTAAGGCTGATTCATATCCCCTTTTCTACTTAGTCTCTTGGTTAATGTTTACATGCAAGTTTTACATATCTCAATAACTATTAAAGATATTTATTTAAAACTTCACATATGCATTTAGGGTCATAATTGTAGGTCACTGACAAAGATCCATAATTCTATCTTGCATTTAGGCTGATTTTTCTCCCCTTTTTCAACTTAGAAATTCATTTGTAAGCTGTTATCTCAATAACTACTAAAGGGTTTGTGCCTTTTTTTGGGACAATTTTATGCATTCATAATAATTAAGCAGTGATTTACTTGATAAAACATCTTAATAACAAGCCTTTGTACCTTTTCTGTCAAATTTATGTATTCATAGGTAATTAGTATTATTATACTCAATAAAACACCCTTGTGACATTACTTTCCGAATAGTCAAGCCAATACTGTTTAATTAGACTCTCTCTAAGGCCTATAACAAGAATTTATAAAAAAAATTAACCCTTTTGTAAACTTAAAAAATTTAACATTATCAAGGCTCTTTTACTATCAAGCACTTAGAATAGTCTAGCGTGCTGTCCTACAGACAGCTCTTGTTTTTAGTAATAAGGTACATCAGATTGACAAGAAGGATAACTCTGCCTACAATATTGACCGAATTATGCCCCTTTTTAACTTAGAAATTTTGGTTAAAGTTTTTGTAAAGTCAAATATCTCAATTATTGCTTGAGATATTCAATTGAAACTTACAATACTTATTTATAGTAACAAGGTACATCAGATTGACAAGTTGGATAACTCTACCTACAATATTGACAGAATTATGCCCCTTTTTAACTTAGAAATTTTGGTTAAAGTTTTTTGTTAAGACAAATATCTCAATTATTGTTTGAGATATTCAATTGAAACTTACAATACTTATTTTTAGTAATAAGGTACATCAGATTGACAAGTAGGATAACGCTGCCTACAATATTGACAGAATTATGCCCCTTTTTAACTTAGAAATTTTGGTTAAAGTTTTTGTAAAGTCAAATATCTCAATTATTGCTTGAGATATTCAATTGAAACTTACAATACTTATTTATAGTAACAAGGTACATCAGATTGACAAGTTGGATAACTCTGCCTACAATATTGACAGAATTATGCCCCTTTGAAACTTAGAAATTTTGGTTAAAGTTTTTTTGTAAAGTCAAATATCTCAATTATTGCTTGAGATATTCAATTGAAATTTACAATACTTTTTTATAGTAACAATGTACATCATTTTGCAAAATTGCATAACTCTGTCTGCAATATTTGCAGAATTATTTGCCCCTTTGAAACTTAGAGATTTTGGTTAAAGGTTAAAGGTCTTCAAAGATATTTACTTGAAACTTTACACATGTACTTAGGGTCATAATTTGAGGGTCATAATTGTATGTCACTGACCAAGTTCCATAACTCTATCTTGCATTAAGGCTGATTCATATCCCCTTTTCTACTTAGTCTCTTGGTTAATGTTTAAATGCAAGTTTTACATATCTCAATAACTATTAAAGATATTTATTTAAAACTTCACATATGCATTTAGGGTCAGAATTGTAGGTCACTGACAAAGATCCATAATTCTATCTTGCATTTAGGCTGATTTTTCTTCCCTTTTTCAACTTAAAAAATTCATGGTAAAGTTTTGCTTCTAAGCTGTTATCTCCATAACTACTGAAGGGTTTGTGCCTTTTTTGGGACAATTTTATATTTTATAAAAAAAAATTAGCCCTTTTGTGAACTTAGAATATTTAACATTATTAAGGCTCTTTTACTATCAAGCACTTAGAATAGTCGAGCGTGCTGTCCTACCGACAGCTCTTGTTACAATTACTTGTACCGTACCTACTGGTATTTTATACAAGCACAAACAATACGGATTTAACTCACTATCATGTTAGAGCGGTACCTCTAGACGCTTGCAGAAATCATGATCACAAAGTAGAAAAATATCGCTTTTTTCACCAATTCTTACATTTTTCATTCATTATCGAAAAAATTGATGAGAACAGATGAATTAGACCTCTTTAGAGTGCATTTTGGCAGGTTTAGAGGCAAGATTTTAATATTTAAACATTTGAGCGCCTTGTTTGGTACATACAGGAATATGGTATTGAGGGCGGTGCTTCAAAACTTTTTAGTCTCACTTGAACAGTACAAACGATTTATGTTGATTAAGGGAGTTAAGAATGATTTATGAAAATTTTGTGTAAATGACTGATTTTAAATTTAGATTTATAGCTTATTTTATCTTGGATAATTAAAAAGAAAGTATACATGTTTGTGATAACCCGAGTTAAGTGCACTAGGAAAGTTGAAAATAAAATAATACATATAATTGATTATAAATAGCAAACAGTTTTTACAGTAATGTCATCATAGGACTTTTACCAAACTGATATCTTTTCGCTCAACATGCTTCATTTTTACAAATAAATGTTTGAATGTTAACTTTATGGGATGGTTTCCATACTGCATAAAAATTACTTTTTTCTTGTTTTCTTAGCTTGCTTGGGATGAGTGCATGTTACTATGTTTAAAACAAAAGAAAACACTAAAAATATTTTCATGGTATTGTTTTAAGAAAGCATTTTCATGGGGATCATTAAATCAGAAATCTATGTTAGAAAACTTGAACATTCTTCATAAGTGTATGATCACACAATACAAAGCACAAGCACGGAATTATGTACTTTAAGGTTTTACAAACAAGTAAAGATTCCTATAAGATATAAAGACTGCTAAACTATCTAGATCATTTATTACAAATCAAACTTGTTTTTGTGTTACTCCATGGAATTGATAATGTTGCATGAATAAAAATTACTGATAAGTTATATCTCATTCAACTTATTCTCATTGGGTATAAAACTTATGAAATTTTATCTCCTAAAAAAAAATGCTTTTTCAAAATTAATACCATGATGTTGAAAATAAATTGCCTTTAAAATACAATAAGTTATGAATAGTATTTTTATTTTCCTCAACAGAGCAAAGAAGACAAATATCGATCAAATGCTGCACAGTTTTGTGAGCGTCTTGGCAAGTACCGTATGCCGTTTGCCTGGACTGCCATCTATCTGATGAACATTGTTAATGGAGCGCACAGTTACGAGAGAGAAACATCCGTCGACTCGATCAGGTCAGAGTCGGAGATGACTCGGGCTGCTAGTTTAGGTAAATTGTTTTCATTTTGTATATAAAATATGACAAACTAAATAAAACAGGGTCTTTGGTGCTCTTAATCATTATCATGTAGATTTCCCCTAATGTTCAGCTATCCTGCTGTCGGGCTATCTGTCTGTAGTTTGACAAAACTGACAAAACAGTGGAATATTGGGGCATCCCTATCCTATTGACATACCAAGTATTTCCAGTTAAATATTGTTTATTTAGTACATGTACCTTTAACCTCATTGATTTGAATAGAGTACTTTATAAGCCATACAGAGACATACTTAAAGAAGATTACAAAAGTCCACTGATTTAACATAATTTGTCACTTTTTTCTATGTAGATAGGAGAAGTGGAATGCAACCAGGACAGTACGACAGCTTCAGAAAGAGACCAAAAGATGACATCCTTGCAAGCCGAAGTTATAGCACCGAGCGTGGGAGATCAGGTTACGAGAAACGTCGTAGTTGGTCTCCAGACGATTATGGTGGAAATCTCAGTAATTTCAGACCAGTGACCTTGACTGTGTCAAGTTTCTTTAAACAGGTAAGTTTATGATGTTAGTATTGTGTGATATTAAATTTATCATGTTAGTGCTTTTTGATGTTTCAATTAACAATTATTTTAAAGCTATAATAGCGGCCGCTTAATGACTTTAATTGTACTTGTTGCCAGATATTTTCATCTTATGTTGGCGCAGTAAAATTTGCCAATTAAAGATTTTATGCGCTAGAATTAATATATTGTAGCATTTGGCGCCATAATTAATATATTTGCGCCATTGGCGAGCGACAGCGGGAACCCTTCTATTATGCCGTCTCGGTGCAGGATGGACATACATATATGTATTATATAGGGCGGAAACATCAATTGTTACTAGATATGCCTCTGCTAGTATTTTCCCTATATTGTGTAGTTTCCAATGAAAATCATCTGTTTAAGAAAGATGAGATTGATTCTTCTCATACTTAATATACTTGCTGGAAAGGGACTTTGACAATTGTTGAGAATTTTATGGTGTTTGGGTATCAGTACGTTGTAAGCTTAAATTAAAATAAAATCTATCCGCAGAGTCCAATGAAATTTTTTTTTTTTTGAAAGGTAATTTGAACACTTTAATTTTTCTGAAGGAGAACTAAAATGTTTGTTTTTTTTAATTTTTGGACACGTTTCATTGTTTTCTTTCAGCTGAGTTGCTCTACTGCAGAATTTACTTTTTATTTCAAACAACAATATAAGATCGCTACAGGATCTGTATCTTGTGTCCCTAGAATGAAATTATAAATATTTTTTTTCAAAAGTATTGAAAAAGTATTCTTATAAATCAAATTTGAAAAAAAAAGAAAACTTTTATTTCAGGAAGGGGACAAATTAAGTGATGAAGACTTGTACAAATATCTTATTGATATAAAACGACCATCAAATGTCCTAAAGAGAGTCAAATGCATACCAGGTAAGATTTCCTTTTCAAGTTATTAAACAATCTTTTTAACATTTTTGAATCTTCAGCAAGGTAGCTTTTCTGTGAAGTTTTCGACAAATAGCAAGATTACTTTACCTTGAAAATTGGCAATGGTCAAGATTGGTTTGAAATTGTTTGAGCTACTGGTTTTGACTTATAGTTGGTGTTCTCTGATTGAAATGTTGGCTGTTAAGAACATGGTCTGTTTTAAAGCTATGGTATTTGACAGTCATTCCAAAATAGTGAATAGTTGTTGAGGAAACAAAATTACTATGGATTAAGCATTTATAAGTAAGCAAGATTTTACATAAAAGGATTTTTTTTTGTTTTTCAGTATTTCTCTCCTTAGTTGCATTTAAAGATACTGAATTGTATATCTTTCTATATTTAGCTTGATTTAATAGAGACAAATCTATTTATAGCAATGATTTTTTTTCAGGAACTTTAAAACTTGATATATCCCCATGCCCAGAGGAGCCTAAACAAGTATTGACAGCAGATCTGTGGAAAGTTGAGCCCTATCCTGAAGATAAAAATAAACCCATCAAAGAAATCCTGGAGTTTCCCACACACGAGGTCTTCTCTATGGCCACAACATACAGGTGAAATATATTGACCTTTACCCTCTTGGCAGTAGCTAATTTTACCTATACAACCTGTGCAGACGAGGTTCAGCCGGCATGACTGTGCCTTCTGGTCATGGTCTTCACATTTCCCTATTCAGTCAGTTTAGATTTTGAAATTTTCCCCTAAAATTGTTGTATGGTTTTGTCCAGATTGAATGATGGACAACTCCATTTAGCAAATGGAGGGTGGTAAGGGATAAATTCTCCAAATCTGTCTTTGACTTAATTGTATGAATGTACAAAGAGACTCGGTTCATAAGAAGAAGATGTAAAAAAAAAAATTTTGTGACCAAAAAATTGGAAAAAACATTAAATACAAGGGATATCATTGTGATGAATGTATGTATTGTTTTTATAGAAACTTGCTTTACGTGTATCCAAGAAGTTTGAACTTTGCCAACAGACAGGGCTCGGCCAGAAATATCGCTGTTAAGATACAGTTGATGCATGGGGAGGAGGAAAGTGGAGCATTACAGGTAAGTTTTCTGTCAATATTTTGGGATAAACTTCTTCTACGTTTATTCATATGGCACCTTGTTATTTCAAAGAATTTTCTTAAGAGTGTGATGGTGGTTTTGGAAGTTTTCATTCGTATCACGGCAGTAAGCCACATTGAATTTACTAGAGCACAGTTCAGCCACTGCATTGTTCATGGGCAGGCTGTCAAGCAGTTTACCAGTACCAGTTGCCCTCACTTTCGCAAGGAACTGAAATTTCTGTATAAGCAAAAGCAGAGGTACAGTGCAAATGACGCAGAAAAGATTTCATGATCAATCGCAACAAGTGACCTGCACTGTCTGGAAATTGAACCTGGATTGCCCAATTCACAGTCCAACACTCTACTTACTTAGCTAATTGGACGGCTCAATTGACAGTGTATGTTATACATTGCAAGAATTTGTCTCATGATCAAGGAATGATATGATATATTGCAATATAAAATTTTATTTTACAGAAATAGAGATTATGTTTCATATATTGAATTGAATTTTAAGTTTAGATATAGTATTTGCTGCTGTGGTCTCAATGTTATAATATTTCAGGCCCTGGCGTCAAGGTAGAAGTTAAAACTTCCAAACTTTCCATGAATGGCTACCTTTCAATAAAGAATTTTATGTCCCTGGCACTCTTAAAACACAAAATAGAAAATGACTATTGATTTTAAGTCTTTATGACGCTTTACCATGGAGGACTTTGTAATACTCTAAAACCAGCATATGCTACCAATATGGATCAAGAATTTAGTCAAGCTTGATAGTCAAGCTTTCATGCAATATATGCCTGCTTTATTGATTAAGTGCCTAATTTGTATGGAAATTACGATTTGTATGGAAATGACAATTTGTATGGAAATTACAGTTTGTATGGAAATAACAAATTGAATGGAAATTACAATTTGTATGGATATTGCATTTTACAATTTGTATGTAAATTACAATTTGTATGTAAATTACAATTTGTATGGAAATAACAAATTGTATGGAAATTACAATTTGTATGGATATTGTAGTTTACAATTTGTATGGAAATTAAAATTTGAATGGAATCTATATTTTGCATGTTAAACTAGACTTAGAAATATGATTGAACAAAATACCATACCACCTTTTATTATCTGTGTTTACTATCCCTGTATTTAAGGCAATATTTGGGAAGTCAAACTGCCCAGAATTATCCAGAGAGGCTTACACATCGGTCACCTATCATAACAAGTAAGTTATATACATGTATGTAACCCGTTAGAGTGGTTTCCGCATTATTATTTGCCTGTTACATTATTTACATGGTATTTTTAACGGAAATAAAAAATCTGAATATTCCTGACATTACTTTTTTGTTGATTACGAAGGCAATGAGACAAAATGACAAGTCCATAATCCAAAGGAAGAAAAAACATTTTTTTTGTCCTATTGTAACTATGATAAAATACCGGGACTATTTAACTAAAATGTAACTTCATTTTACAAATGCCAAGTTAATCTTTTTCATGGCTGGCATAATACTCTACTTCAATTTAGACTCATTTAGCAGAGCATTTTCTATCTGAATTTCCCTGCAGGGTTTGATTCTTGACCAAGAAATTGATAAAACAAAAGTCCCTGCTATTACCTGTGGAAGGGGAATTCTGTACTGCAATTGACTGGTGCTTTAACTCTGATTATTTTTCAGGTCTCCAGATTTCTATGAAGAGGTGAAGATTCGGCTCCCAGCTCATCTTACTGATGCCCATCATTTACTGTTTACCTTTTACCATATCAGCTGTCAGACAAAGAAAGGGGAACCAGCGTCAGCTGTTGAAACTCCAGTTGGGTTCACTGTATGTTGTTTTTTATTCCTTTGCATATTTTATGGTATTGTGAGACCCAGTTTTAGAGATATAATCCATTGGTGTAATAGTGCCACTTAAGTGTGCGTGGTTTATTATTACTGCTCAAAGAAATTTTGACTTATTCCTTTTTTTTTATTTATATAGAATTTGAGATATAGATCTAATGGGTAAGAAGTAGTTAAAAGTGTTTCTAAATTTAACGTAAAATAGAGAAAAATTGACATTTTTCCACAACAGAAGAATACTACTCAATATGATTTTTTTTTTCTAAGTACATGTTATTTCAATACATGTATAAGAAAGAAACAAAGATTTCAGTCATGAAATACATATTTGCAGTGGCTACCTTTGATGAGGGATGGAAGACTTCATGTTGGGGACTTCATGTTACCAGTATCAGTAGAGAAATTACCTCCCAGTTACTCGATCTTATTTCCAGACGTAAGTAAAACAATAGTTGTTGAAGTATAACACGAGTTGTGCATGCGTCTATAATATGTTTACAGGTGTTGTCTCATGGATTTTCATATAAAATGAATATGTAAAGATTTTATTATGTTTCATGGGTTTCCTGAGTTTTTTGGTTTTTTTTTTAATTACTTTAATTAGGCCAGACAGGGTCTTTGAAATACATAGTTCTACCCTGGTCAAGGGTTTGAGTAATAATTTTTGAATTGTCAATGGTTAATGCATGTCTGAGTAAATCAAGAAGTTTTCTCTTTTAGTTTAGTTTGTGTAGACATATTTATTTACCTTGATTGTGATGAAAGCTAGAAGATTATTTAAACGACTCGTGAGTCTGCTCCTTTAAATAACCAATGTGGATTTCACATGTTTTATATATGGTGATGACCAAAGAAGGGCTTGAACCCACAAAGTGACCATCCCTGGACTGAAAAGGAGACACCTTTACCACTTTGTCACCTCCCTTTTTCCCACCTTAACCATTGAAGCGAAATGATAACAAGGCTATTTACATACATATTGTGTGTGTAGTAAAAGTTATGGATATGTGTTAAGGCAAATAATTCGATAATTTGTAGATGGATTATAAATATTGAAACTGTTACTGTTAATTGTAGCAAGTGACGTCGTCAAAAGTAAGAGAATAAACTTGGAACTTAACACGTTTTTCACTCTGACTGAAACTTTCTTGTTTTTCTGATTCTACACAATGATTCCATGAATGTTAACCTTGACCTTGCTGAATTTTCGCAATAAACTTGTCCAACATACATAATGCAATAGTCCATTATCAATTTTAGGGATATTAAAATGAAATTTGGAAATGATTAAGCCAACAGTATATAGCCTGGTAAGGAGTGCAGGGATGCATAGGCTGGCTTGGCTCTTATACTGGTGACAAAAGTTTTGCATTTTACAATTCAGCATCGTTAGGGTTTAGGTAGTCTTACTGTAATGCTTTCCCGCCAAAAACTTCTAACATTGACCAAAATCGTAGCAAATCGTTTTTTTCTGGTTCGTTATTTTTTCGAAATCTCAGTCATTAGATTATTTGCAATCACTCATCTTATTCTTATGTACTATATTCCTGTTATAAACAGTTGAAAATTATTGAATACCGAAGATTATGAAAAATTGAAAAAATAACATTCCGGATATGACTGATTTTTTACGATATTTGCTGATGTTTGAATTTTTTTTGGCGGGAAAGCATTACAGTAAGACTACCTTGAACCATCTTCTTCCTTTACTAACACTCTTTGATATAAATATGTTTTTTTCAAGTGAAGAGTCTCCTAAAAATGTCATTTCATCATATTTGACAAGATTGTGATAACCATTATAGATTGTTTACATATCAAGAATATCCCCAGCATTTTTATGCTCCCCAAAAAATTTCGAGGGAGCATATAGTCGTAGGGTTGTCCGTCCGTCCGTACGTATGTACGTACGTCCTGAATTCGTGTCCAGCCCATAACTTTGTTATTTGAAGGTCAAGGTCACAGCATGACCTTTCAGCAAAATCGTATCCGGCCCATAACTTTATTTGAAGTCGGATTTTAAAACTTTTTCACAGAAATGATCACCATATTGAGACAACATGTCACGCGCAACATTTGGGTCGCTACCTTGAAGGTCAAGGTCACAGCATGACCTTGCAGCAAAATCTTGTCCGGTCCATAACTTTGTTATTTGAAGTCGGATTTTAAAAATATTTCACAGAAATGATCACCATATTGAGACGATGTGTCGCGCACAACATCTGGGTCGCTTCCTTGAAGGTCAAGGTCACAGCATGACCTTGCAGCAAAATTGTGTCCGGTCCATAACTTCATTATTTGAAGTCGGATTTTAAAAATATTTCACAGAAATGATCACCATATTGAGACGATGTGTCAGGTGCAACATCTGGGTTGCTTCCTTGAAGGTCAAGGTCACAGCATGACCTTGCAGCAAAATCGTGTCCGGCCCATTACTTCACTATTTGAAGTTGGATTCAAAAAGTATTTCACAGAAATGATCATCATATTAAGATGACTTGTCACGCACAACATTTGGGTCGCTGCCTGGAAGGTCACAGCATGACCTTGCAGCAAAATCATGTACTTCCTTATTTGAAGTCAGATTTTTAAACTATTTCACAGAAATGATCACCATATTAAAATGGCGTGTCGTGCGCAACATTTGGCTCACTACCTTGAAGGTCAGGGTCACAGCATGACCTTGCAGCAAAATCGTGTCCGGCACATAACTTCATTATTTGAAATCGGATTTTACAACTATTTCACAGAAATGATCACCACAATGAGACATTGTGTCGCGCCGTCATTTGGGTCGCTTCCTTGAAGGTCAAGGTCACAGCATGACCTTGCAGCAAAATCGTGTCCGGCCCATAACTTTGTTACTGGAAGTCGGATTTAACAACTATTTCACAGAGATGATCATCATATTGAATTGGCGTGATGCATGCATCATTTGGGTCCCTACCTTGAAGGTCAAGGTCACAGCATGACCTTGCAGCAAAATCATTTCCGGCACATTACTTCGTTATTTGAAGTCAGATTTTACAACTATTTCACAAAAATGATCACCATATTGAGACAATGTGTTGTGCACAATATTTGGGTTGTTTTTACACTTTGAACTTTGTCTGTGGCATAACTCTGACACAACAAGAGGCATACCTTCCTGTGTCCAAAACCTATTTGGGGAGCATCACCCGGTTCAACCGGCTCTTGTTGTATCTCAATTTTATGAATTTTCTTAACTGCAGATGAATTGATTTTAGTATTTTTTGTTGGTTTTCTAATCCAGTGTTTCTGTGTTGAAACATGTTAATGTTGTATATATGCAATTTATTGAATGAATAAGAGTTTAAACTACTAAGAAAAGCTTCCTTACATAAAAGAATTGAAAATCTCTGTAATGGGTTTGAACCCACTTTTATGAAGGTAGATTAATAAAAGATATAAATGTCCCTCCCCCTATAAAATAAAGATAAATTAAATCAATGCTACACATAGATCCGTAGTTTCCATTAGGTTTCTGTTGCGGTAGTGGATTTGATGTAGGTGAATTACCACTGGTATGTTGGTTTGATTTGCACAGAAAGTCCCTCTTCATGCTTTTGCTAAGTTACTACTGTTGAACTTCATTCACTCAGACTCAGATTGCTGGAATACCTCCTTTCGCTCCAACTTGCCGTCCGGCCTCCGGAAAAAATACGATCTAATCATACATGATAATTCTTCAACATTAGTTTGCTCGACCTACCCATCTCTTTTACAAATTTGCACAGGCCCTTCGAGTTTGAGCAAATGAAGTTTGACTGTAGTTATAAATCTTATCAATAAAAGGTATTAAGGGAAAAGTAGAAAAAAATGTGTTTGTTTGTGGCCTGTTGTTATTTTTAAGTTAACACATTCTTTATCAAGACATTTAATTTTTTTGCCCTTCTGAAAATTTCCAAAACCCATGATTGAGTGCAGCAGAGTTTATTATTTTTGGAGAACAGCTTTAATCATTTGGTGTCAGAAAATATATGAATTTCATTGATATTAATAGAAATACATGTATTATGTTTACATAAAATCTAATGTGAGTACTGTGAATATACTGAATTTCATGGGCATGAAATTTCGTGGTTTTGTCACAAAGAACATTTTTGTGGGTTCTTAAATTCTGGACTCTTTATTTTTCCAAAAGGTAAAATGTAAATAATGTGAGTAGATGAAATGAAATTTTGTTGGATCTAAAATTCATTGGTGACCAATCTATGTAAACCACGAAAATAAGTGCTCAGAGAATATAATAATGATATTGCAGTATCCATATATTTCTTCTGAAATGTTTAAATGCATCATCATCAGTTTACTATACTATATATCATGTTCTATAATCTCCAGAAAAGAGTTCTTTAGTATGATATGCATGTGAAATAAGCATTTAACCCTTAACCTGCTGGAACCAACAGTGATTACATTTTGCCACCAGGCCAGGCCTTCTGTGCAGTCTGATCAGGCTCTTTATAATGTTGGTATCTCAACATTTTAGATTTTGATAATGAAATTCCTTATAACGGCATGCCAACAGATTTATGCTAATTTTCACACAACAAAATTGCAAATGTATTTCAAAGTCAAATATTTTGAAGTGAACAAAATAAGTAATTTTCACATTGCAAATGGCACTTGCAATCCATTTTAATGACCAAAAATAGGTCAAAATATGCAAAAATAGCCCCTTACTGTGTTAGTTACACAGTAGAAATATGGTGATAATACTGCAAAGTCAGTCATTTGTCCCACATAACATGTACATTATTACTTTGATCTTGAAATATATTTAATTTTCTTAAAATCTATTTTTTTATCAATTTTGATTTTCTTGAAATATTTTTGGCTTATCTTGAGGCATGGCCAGCAAGTTGGCTCATCTGGAGGCATGCAGCTTTAACCGTTGAGTGGACTTTAAAAAAAAATCAAAGCACAGAAAATCTATTACATCATTGCAGCAGGTTAAGGGTCTAAGGTTTTTATTATTGATAACAGTAATCATAATAAATCTTTGAAAAATTCAACATAACGATTGGTCAGTTTGAATCTTATGTCATAACCAACCAATTAGAGGTTAGACATTGTTCAAAAACCAACCAATCAGATGCTGGAGTTTAAGACTGGTTTTCTATATTGATAATTTAAATCTATGCTTATCATATCTTTAAAATAATTCTATTAACTCAGTGTATAAAATGGAAGAGAAATATTCTTATCATATCTTTAAAATAATTCTATTAACTCAGTGTATAAAATGGAAGAGAAATATTCTTATCATATCTTTAAAATAATTCTATTAACTCAGTGTATAAAATGGAAGAGAAATAACAACCAGAACATTATAAGTACATGTATATCATATTCAGCCAAGTGTTCATAAAATATATTTGCCTATTTTGAACATAGTTACAGTAAAATCCATTTATAATGATATTGCTTATAACCGGTTACCATGGTCTCAACAGTTGTTTTCAAATTGGTTGCCTCCCTGATATAAGGATACCCCATTGTAATGATATAAATTCTGCGATCCATTAAGTATCATTATAAGCGGAGTTTACTGTATTTTGCATACAGCAAATGTTATGCTGTATGGAATTTTAGTGTTTAGTGCAAAACATATGATATAGTTAACTTGATAAATTATAATTGCAATAACTTGAAGAAAAACAAATAGTGTTAACTTGAAGCCATATAAGTGTTTAAGTTGCAGTAGTGTTAAATATTGCCCATAACATAACATAAAGCTACAATAGTGTTTACTTAAGGCAACAATAATGTTAGCATGAATCCATGATAGTCTTAAAAGCCATGATAATGTTAACTTGAACCAACTAGAGTGTAAAGTTAAAGCAACAATGGTGTTAACTTGATGCCATGATAGTGTAAATTTGAAGCCAGGAAATATTAAGTATTATCACTTATAACAGAACTGTAAATTGTTTTAGAAATTAAATTTTTTTTTTATAATGAAAGCTGAAGAAAAGTCTTTATTTTATTTCTAATTTGGATAAAAATAACAATAATAATAATAATAATAATAATAATAATAATAATAATAATAATGATATTAATGATAATAATAATAATAATAATAATATCAGAAGTTATTTTTTTTTAGATATTCAAAACTTGCATAGTATTTAACTTGTTACAAATTTGGAAAGATTTTTTAAAGTTATTTAAACACAAATTGTTCACTAATTTTTATTGCAGATTCATACATTACCTGGAATGAAATGGGTAGATAATCATAAAGGGGTGTTTAGTGTGCAATTACAGTCAGTGTCTACCATACATACACAGGTAATTTAAATGTTGATTCTAATTTTTTATCTTTTTTTTAGCTAAGATTTTAGCTAGACTATTCGATAAGAATAAGTAGAGCTGTCCTAGTCACTCGAGCGTCGGTGTCGGTGCCAACGTAACCACTTATTATAAATTTTTTAAACCCCCACACAATAAAGTTGTAAGGGGGGTATACTGGAATCAGCTTGTCCGTCCGGGCATCCGGCAGTCCTTCGGTTTTTCCTTGTCCACCCAATCCTTTGACCCAAAGTCTTCATATTTGGCTTGGAGGTTGGTCATGATGAGTAATTAGATGACCCCTATTGAGTTTAAGCTCAATTCAAGGTCACAGGGGCCTTAAAGCTCTAAAAGCTTGTCTGCTCAATTATGTAACAATGCTTTTGTCAACAGTCTTCAAATTTGGCATTGAGGTTGGTTATGACTGGTAGATGACACCCATTGATTTTGAACTAACTAGGTCAAAGGTCAAGGTCAGACTAAAAAAAGCTGGTCTTCCCAATAACTTAAGAATCCTTTGACCCACAGTCTTTATGTTTGGCATGGAGATTAGTCATGACCATTAGATGACCCAATAATTATTTTGAGGTCATAGTTCAAGGTCACATGGGCCTTGACTAAGAAAAGCTTGTCTGCCCAATAACTTAAGAATCCTTTGACGCACAGTCTTAATATTTGGCATGGAGGTTGATCATGACCATTAGGTGACCCCTATTGATTTTGAGGTTGCTTGGTCAAAGGTCACAGGGGCCTTTAGTTAAAAAAGGTTGTCCGCTCAATTGCGTCAACAGTCTTCATATTTGGTATTGTGGTTGGTAATGACTAGAAGATGACCCCTATTGATTTTTAGCCATAGCAACCTTACTGTGCATAGTTACGGTCATTTAGTTACTTTTTGCTATACTAAAAGTGTCACAATTCAATTTTCTGTTTTGTTTTAATTGCAAGAACAACTTAACAAGCATCATCTTTAAGTTCAAGGAAATTATATTTTATCATTTGTGTAACAATTGTAATAGAAATATTTTGAAATTTTTTACAGGATGACAAGATTGACAAATTTCTGTCAATGTGTAGACTGGCACAAGAGCAAAAGCTTCCACCACGCAAAAATGAGTCCCAGTTTGAGAGTGAATTGAAACACAGTCTGAGTGACCTAATTAGAGCCAGGGGAGAGAACTTGGTTCAGTTCCTGTCTCTGATTCTGGATAAATTAATTCTATTAATGATTAGACCCCCTACATTGAGTGGACAAGTCGGTGAGTAAAAATTATGTAAAGAATAAGTCATGTCTCAAGAAAATTTTCCTCTCATATTTTCTAGTCACATTAATTAGTTGATCAACTTCTATTACCTATAAATGTAAAATTCATTAAATGTAAATGTTAACAGAGAGAATTCAGTGAAGTACATCTTATAATATGTAAATGTACATAACTGATTTGGAAATATCTACATAACTTAAAGAGGAAAATTTGTGGAGAAAATAAAAAATATCCTGTGCATCTACATAACAGTACATCGGTTTTGTCCAAGTCTGAAAAAACAAAAACAAGAAAATTCGAATCAACAAAGGATTGATGGATTTACATGAACACAACAATATTCTAGTATATAGATCTACTTAGTTTTTCCACCATTTTTCATAATTCTTTTATTTGATTATTTTGAATTTTTATTCATTGAAATTTGTGTTGAAATTTAAGTTTTTATTTCCAATACAGTGAACACAGGACAGCCAGCATTTGATGCAATGGCCCAGATTGTACAGAGGGTAAGGGATATGTTAGAGGACAAGAATGACAGCAATGGTAGAAACTCTGTACTAGCAGCTTATATACAGTACTGTTGTACATTACCCCACCCAGGAGGAGCAATGCCTGGTAAGTTCAAATGATGAACAACATCATTTTGCATGTAATTTTCTGAAAAGAAAAATTTTCGTTATTTTTATTCAATTTGTGATGAAGTATCAAATGGATTAGTAAATAAATAAATAAGGATATTGCAGTAAGTATTCAGAAAAAAAAGCTGTTTGTTACTGCCAGATAAGAGCTATTGTAACCATTGTTATATACCGTTATATACTCTCCCCTTATTGCTTATTATTCATACATTTTCTTCAATGAAAACATTTGTAGAATTTCTTATTTTAATTTTTTTTGGCAGTTGACATAAGATTTTCATTGACCAAGATGAAATTAGAAATTAGTTTAATGAGGAAGTAATGAATCGGATATTTTTATTGCAAAGTGTGAAATCTAATGAAGAGAAACAGATATCATATGAAGTGATGGGCAAAAAATATTTTTTGTTTTTTTCCATACTGTTTTTGTTACCTATATATGTAGGTCAAATGGAGATGAGCAGTGGATATGCCACTCTAGGCCGACCATCATCCCTGCCGATCAATAAACAAGCATACCAGCGTAGCACAAGCAACCCAGATCTGACCACACCCACAACACCAGAGGCCGAGATGGCTGGATTCTTTAGTAAGTCCAAATATAAATTTAACCAGGCTGTATTGTTTGCTGATCTGTCTTTAACAACATGTCTCTTGCAAAGTTGAGACCATTATCATCAGGAACAGTCAATTTTTTTGTCAGAGATGCTAAGAGTAGCTCCCCTTGATATTTTACAGGTGTGGCTATATTGTCCCTTAAATTGATGATTGTTCCAAAACTGGATAGGACCATTTAAAATATTTAGCAAAATGTTTGCATGTACATATAGTTATAATAATCTTTTAGGTTGCCTTCCTCAAGAAGAAATAAACATTAGTTAAATCTTGCTTTTAGTCTTATATGTCTTGATGTTAATAAATTGTCATAGTCATAGAACAAGAAAAAATTTGTTGAAATCATGCTCTCTGAACTTATGTTAAAATCTTTCCTATAATTGGACATTGATTGTAATTAAATAGAGGATATTTGTTAAGTTCAGTGTAAGATCGGAATATATTTCATCGAGTGAGCACCAAAAGGTATATTTCACGAGTGGTGCTGTCACAAGTGAAATATGAACTTTGGGTGTTCACGAGGTGAAACATATTTCGATCTTACACTAAACTAAACATATTTTCTTTTTATTACATGCTAAGAAACGTTTAAAAAGACATTTTATCCTAGTACTAAATGAAAAGCGTGCCAAATTATAATGCAACGTGACGTCATTTACGACGTCACGTCATTAAGCTGGTTTCCAGTACTGTGCACGCTGGTATTTCTCTGAGACAACGTAACGGGCTTAAATTTAAAACAGTGAAATTATCAAATTGATAATTTCACTGTTTCAAACAGTGAAATTACCAGTTTATAAATCACTGATATATTTCTATAATCCATCGAAAAGCATGTAATAAAATGTGAAAATCTTTCTATATTTGGACATTGATTATAATTAAAATGTGAAAATCCACATGATTCTTTCTTTTCCTCTGCTTTATAGGCAACAGAGCTGGAAGTATGAGAACTGAAGAGTTTGCCCATGCCTTTGGTAAATCAAGGAGAAAGGTATGTGTGAAACAAAGTTTTCATTTGTTTTATGTTTTTCAGTGTTTTCACTACCATGATTTTTATCTGTTACTTCCAGTTATTAAAAATGTTGGTACATATAAGAATATTTTTCATTGGGGGGTTGAAAACCATTGTTTCAACCAGCTGATTGTCATATCTCATATTACATTGCTAAAGATCTAGTTTATTTCACTTTACTCAAGAATTTATTTGTTCACAAAAAAAGAACATCTTAATATTAAATAAAAAACAATTTATGTTTACTATTTCAGCTTGTCCATGAGGAATTTGCTCTGCAGTGGGTGGTATTGAGTGGGTCTACTAGAGAAACTGCTTTATCTAACTCCTGGTTCTTCTTTGAAATCATGGTAAGTATTTGTGCAATCTATTGACAGCTCTTTTGGTGTATTAAATTTTAAATATTGGAATATAAAAAAGGCATGCCATAGTGAACCATTGACAGCTCCTAGTTGATTATATGATAAATCTTCAACATAAAGTCAGATATGGAATTTAATACTTTAAATATATTCTTTATATTTATTTCCTCTTGTCTGACACTTGTTTTCTGTTTCACTTTGCTGTTTTTACAAGATTCTTACACTAGCTGCTGGCATGAACAGGAATTAATTTTTCAGTCATTATTTTACATGTTAATGATAGTTTGGAAAAAGAATAACGAAAATCAAATTTTTTAGTTAAGCACTAAATTGTATTTTCTTTGAAAAATGTAAATTTGCAACTTGTGTTGGTAGTACATGTATTCAAAGCTTGTAACTCATTCTGGAATACAATGTAAGTATTTATTAAGTTATTCTAAGTATGGCCTCTTTTGAGGGGTACAGAAAGGTAATATTTACCATTACAGTACCATATTAGTCCCTAGAAAATCCAGCCTGATATATAAGGAAATTATTCACCAGAAGTTGGGGTTTTTTTTAGATAAAGAGTATGGCAGAGCATCTATCAAAGACAGACAGTTTGTGTGCACCTAGACAAATGAGGTTTCCACCACAGTTTATAGATGATGTACAGTCTCTTGTATACATGCTCATTAAAGACATAGTGGACAGATATGTCAGGGTAAGGAATTGTTTGGGAATTCTTGTTGTTTTTGTAGGATATGGAAGTATTTGAGATGAATGGGAAGAAAAGTATCGGTTTTTATACAGTTGAAGAGTAGGTAATAGGAAGCTCTTCTCTGAGTAAATGATGAGCATTGTCTAAGTGGCAATGTTGTACGCATCTGATTCTCAACCCATGGATTATAGGAATGAATTCTTTTGAGTCACAACTAAATTCTGGTTGATAAGTCGGTCATTGTGACACAGTGTGGAAGTTGTATTACCACTTACAAAACCAACTGGGTGGAGAAAAACTTCAGATGTATTTTTCATGTATGATCTGCTACCTACATAGCTTCCTAGAGATCCAGCTTCCTAGGCGTCTTAGCTTTTTGCTTAATTTGGCTGACAAGATTCGAACACACAACAGTGAGAGACACATGATTGGAGTCAGTGACCTTTACCACTGAACCACTTAAGCCTCATGAAAATGGTATGTCAAGGTAGCTGTATATTGAACTCAAATATTTTTTTGTTGGGCAGACATTTCATGTGTATGAAATTTGTTAGAGATATGTATTTATCTTTATTGCAGGACCCACCAATGATCCGCAGTTTGAACACAAGTTTGGCTTTCTTCTTGCAAGATCTGCTTTCATACATGGACAGGGGATTTGTATTCCAGCTTGTAAAGCAGTACACTTATGAGGCAAGTCTTTGTTTGTTTGCTTTGTATGAATCTTAAATGTTTGCAGGAATTTGTAATTACTAAAATTCCATTAGAATATCAAATATTGTTGTTTAAAATTATTTTCATCATAAAAGTATGTTGTTTAAAAATATTTTCAAGATAAAAGTATATATATGTTGGTTTGTTGAATTTAAAAAAGTTTCAAGAAAACTTCTTCATAATTATAATAAACTAAATTTCAACGAAAGCACTTCCATTACAAATATCTAAATGTTACAGCCATTTGGTCATAATTTCCTATATGTTTAGAAATAATAATGACTGCGTTCTAAGGAAGAGTGTTGCTGTTTTATTGTTTATAATTGAGTAAATAATGAAGTAATATGATAAAAACAGGTGAACCTGAAGATTAAGTCCCTGACAGACGCCACAAGCTTACGCCTCCTCCACTTGGACTTTCTTCGTATAATCTGTGCTCACGAGCACTACTTCACTCTCAACCTGCCATTTGGAACGCCTCTGACACCTTCAGCCAACAGTAGTAGTCCTACGCCAAGTATCGCCAGTATAACGTCCCAGGATTCCCAGTCCTCATACACTTCCACCAGTACTATTACCAACAAAGGCGTGTTCTACGACTTGACGCCAGAGTTCCAGTCACAACATTATCTGACAGGGCTGGTTTTAAAGGATCTATCACTGGCATTGGATACAAAGTAAGTAGTGAATTATTTCCTATAGTTTCTTTTCATAAGAACAGGTTAACATTGACCCTGGCTGAAATTCAGTAATAGACTTATCTTTCTTTGAATTAGGAACTACTCTTTATCAGTTTTAGGGATGTCAATATCAGAATGATAAAATTGATCAGCAAACTGTATACAGTATATAATCAGTTTAATGAATACAAATACTTTTTTATGCTTTCGACGTTTTGTACTTTTCAGAAAAAAAAAAGATGTTTATACAATAACAAATGACGCAATGTCCATATAATCATACGCTAAACGGAATGTAGCGTTAAGGCGGGAATAAAAGCTGTATCAAATATAAACAGAATGTTTCAATTTAAACATTGCTTCATGAATACAGCAATATACACTTCAAAAAAAATTGAATATGGATCTACACATAAGATACAAAAATTCTTATAATTAATGAGAATAAAACAGTATAAAGTCAATCTCATAGATCTGATATTGATGATTTGGGCTTTCAAATATTGATATTACTATTCACAGTAACCCTACATTACATCACAAAGCCATCAACGTGGTCGGCAATTTACTACAGAACCACGACCTTGATGTTAGATACACTGACCTTGAGATGAAAGCGAGGCTGGCCGCTCTCTACCTGCCTCTTGTTGGTATTACTATAAAAGGTATGACTCACTGTTTGGTATCTGTATTATTGTGTTTGAGCCTGTTTCTTATAGATTTTACATATGAATGAAATAAGAGGTTAATACACGGCAGGAGAGGGCCGGAAGGTGATAATCGGCCCGCAAAATGAATAATGGACCCGAGGGCTTTAGCCCGAGGGCCATTATTCATTCAGGGCCGATTATCACCTCCCGGCCCTACTCTGACGTGTATTAATGTCTTTAATACACTTTGTAGATCTAATAGATTCTAGTAGCATTTTTTTTTTAAAAAAAATACAACAACAAAGTTCTTTCGTTGAAATTCTTGTCTACTCTTCTACTGTTCTGTACAGAGATGTTTACTGTTTGTGTGTTGAAAGCAGTAGAATCTAGAAGCAAGTTTTATTTTCATTTTTTTTCGGAATGAATTTGTCATATTATTTCTTCAAATTTCAATAGTAACAAAAATGTGTTTGTACTAAATACGCTTAAGCTCTCATAATAAAAATAAAGCAATTCGTGCTGACAACCTACTTTCACTTTTACAGTTAACTGTTTGATGACGTAAAATATGACGTCATTGTTTCAGTTTGTGCACGTGCACATGTTCTGCGGGCTGATAACTAGTTCTCGGCCCCGGGCCGCAAACTCATAATAGGTCACGTGACACTCATAATCAGTTGAAATCATAGGCAATTTTGTTACTATATATAGTAACAAGTGTATTAATGTTTATTAATACATGTAATAGCGAAACTCCGGAACTTGGTAAAAAAGTGGATTTTCCACTCTTATCCAGAGTTATAAACAAGCTTTTGTTTTAACAACTTGGTCTTTATATCAGTAATAAGGACAGTATGTAATTTGACCACTCTATTGTGAACAGTAATGCATTGTGAAGTTTTAACAATAAAAGTTTGTTCGTCACAGCCATAAGATCTACCTTTGCTGAATTCCAAATAACATCAATTGTCCTGTATTATCTGATTTGTTAATGAATGTTTAAACATTTACTAGAACCTAGTTTAAGTGGCCATATCTCTTTATTTCGATATATATAAAAAAAAAAAAAAAAAAAAAATGTTATTCTTTAGATAAAAATGTAATTAATTTATAATAAAATTGTAATTAATTTTAATATATTTTATATAAAAATGTTATATAGTATTTAGTAAATAGTATTTTTTTTGGGGTGGGGGGGCATAAAAATGTATTTATTTTTTTGGATAAAAATGTATTTTTTTTGCTAAAAATGTAATGAATGTGTAAATGTTAATAAAAATAATTTTAATAAGAAATGTAATTACTTAAAAAATGTAATTGATTAAAAAAGGAATTATTTTTAATAGAAATGTTTTTTTAACATTAAAATAATTTCAACAGTATCACCGTTCAATCCATTACTGTAAGTCTATATACATGTACAATATTGTATAAAAATAAAGTATTTCATACTTCGAATGATTCCAGCTTTACCGCAGGTGTACGATCCAAACATGGAGGGTCGTTACCGGACAGACGAGGAGATGGACACGATAAATCAACGTGTAGCATTAGCTATAGCCGGTCAAAACTTGTTCAGCAAATACAGTGAACCATCACAGAGTCATGGTGATATCAGTGCCAAAGTGTGTTATCTTTCCTATATTTTATAATTTCTTAATACAGTGAAACCCCTTCGATTCAGACAGCTTCGTGACTAAGATTTTTTGTCAAATTTAGGAAAAATAAGTTAGTTCTTAATGAAAATAAAAAAATCTTGCATGATATCACAATTTTTAGCTAAAAATTGTGATATCATGCAAGATTTTTAATTTTACTTTAATGTTAAAAAATAATTTTAAATAAAAAAATGTAATTACTTAAAAAAATGTAATGGATTAAAAAGTAATTACTGTTTGAGGAAAAGGAAGAGCCATTGTACTCATCCTAGGGTAGGAATCAGTCTTTGGTTAAGTTTTTACATGCAAGTGGTATCTGCAAAATTTCTAAAAGGAATCCTGGGAAACTGTACACACTTATTTGAGAGCATAATAAGAGGTTACTATCCAAGGTCCATAACTCTTACATAAATAATGACTGATTTTCAACTTAGAAAATTTTACATTATCCAGGCTGTTGTTTTACTATCGAGCACTGAGAATAGTTGAGCATGCTGTTCTACTGACAGGTCTTGTTATGATGTAACATTTATTTTGTTTAATACTGAATAGCTATTTATGAAAGTTATATACAATAAAAATAATTTTCTGATGCCATCTAAATGGACTGAAATTTTTATCTTTATTTTTAATAGTTTTGTTACTTTATGTAACTTATTACTTGTTTGACTTTTTTTTAACTTTACACAGATAAACTTAAATTTATGTGTTTGCGATATAACTTTGTAGTAATAACCAAAAAAATGCTCTAAAATATATTTTTAGTAGGTTTTTATCTTTGACTGTATAATGTACAGTATTGACAATTATTTTGATATTTCACAGATAAGGAAATGCCAGTTGAACGCCGAGGATACGAGGAACTTGTTGATCTGTTTCACATGGGTGTTGAAGAATGTTGACAAGTCAGTGTTACGTCAATGGTGGTCTGATATGAAAATCGACAGGCTGAACTGTATACTAGAGATCATTTACTATGCCATCTCTAACTTTGAATACAGGGTATTTATAGCATAACATCTATCCAATTTAAGTCACTCTTGTATTTGCTATGTCATAAGTCTTACTCATTTATAATTAACCTTTTTATTCAATCATAAGTTTAGACACTTTCTTTTATTCTGTAAATAATCCATCACTTGTCATTAATAATAAATATATTCTAGTCGGAAGTATATCTCAGTCATAAGACTAACTCGGTCATAAGTCTATCCCAGTCATAAGTCTATCCCAGTTATAAGTCTATCCCTGTCATAGGTCTAACTCAGTCATAAGTCTATCCCTGTCTTAAGACTAACTCAGTCATTAGTTCATTCCTGTCATAAGTCCATCCCTGTCATAAGACTAACTCAGTCGTAAGTCTATCCCAGTCATAAGACTAACTCAGTCATTAGTCCATCCCTGTCATAAGAATAACTCAGTCATAAGTCCATCCCTGTCATAAGACTAACTCAGTTGTAAGTCCATCCCTGTCATAAGACTAACTCAGTCATAAGTCCATCCCTGTCATAAGACTAACTCAGTCATAAGTCCATCCCAGTCATAAGACTAACTCAGTCATTAGTTTATCCCTGTCATATGACTAACTCAGTCATTAGTTCATTCCTGTCATAAGTCCACCCCTGTCATTAGACTAACTCAGTCATTAGTCTATCCCTGTTATAAGACTAACTCAGTCATTAGTCTATCCCAGTATTAAGTATCCAGTCATAAGACTAACTCGGTCATAAGTCTATCACTGTTATAAGTCTATCCCAGTCATAAGATTAACTCAGTCATAATTTACCCCAGTCATAAGTATATCCCAGTCATAAGTCTATCCCAGTCATAAGTCTATCCCTGTCATAAGTCTATCCCAGTCATAAGTCTATCCCAGTCATTAGTCTATCCCAGTCATAAGTCTATCCCTGTCATAAGTCTATCCCTGTCATAAGTCTATCCCAGTCATAAGTCTATCCCAGTCATTAGTCTATCCCAGTCATAAGTCTATCCAAGTCATAAGTCTATCCAAGTCATAAGTCTATCCAAGTCATAAGTCTATCCCTGTCATAAGTCTATCCCAGTCATAAGTCTATCCCAGTCATAAGTCTATCCAAGTCATAAGTCTATCCCAGTCATAAATTCATATTCATGATCAAGTTTAGGTATAAATTTAGCACAGTCATTAATGCAATACAGTATATAATAGTTTAGGTCAGAATAGGAACTTGGTCATTCAGCCACAATGCATGCTAAGTGTTTACTTTAAAGTTATTGCCAGGAATTTATGAATTCCTATTCATCCTAGAACATAAGAGGTTTCATATGTATGCAATTAGACTGAAAATGCTATTAAAACTATTGAATTTTCAGACATTCAGAAAAACATACTGTAACTTGACCTTTAAGATAGCAAAAGTAAAACAAAAACAAAACTGATTAGACTTTTGACATGGAATTTACAATGGTATGATAAAAAAAAGAAAATGCATATATTCAGTAATATTTCCAGCATCTTGGTACTGAATTGAAAGTTACCTCATCTTTGTTCTTTTAAGAAAAAGATATGTTTTACTGAATTCCTTCTTTCTTCTGATACACTTGTTTTATATGTCTGGACAGATTCAATTAAGTGACGATGAAATTAAAGTAGAAATACGTAGTTTAATAGAAATGAATTTTTGAAAGTAACGAGCATTATGGTTTGAATTGCTGGTTTGAATTGCATGCTTATTGCATAACATAACACCATTGCAACTAAAATTAATATGCATGTAACAATATGTAACAATGACAATATAATTGTATACTTCTTTTCACAAATAAATAAGACTGTTTATCAAAATAGATTGATTAATTAGCTTGATATGGCATTTGGATAAGTTTTCGCTTTCTATTTTTTTAGCTTTCAGAATTATTTACTTTTAGTTTTCAAAGTTAATTTTTTTTAACCTTTAAAAGCAATAGCTTGGTCATGCATCATTAACCCATCTTGTTGAAACTTTAACACTTTGTGGGATTTATTTAGTACAGTTTTGAAGTGTATCCCTTAGCTTTCTCGAACCGAAAGTGGGTAGCCTTTTATACTACAGTGGAACCTGTCTAATCCGAAATCGTCCGGACCAGAATAAATGTTCGGATTAGAAAGGTTTCCGGATTAGAAAGGTTTCCGAATTAGAAGATTTTTATCATGTTTTTTTCATGTTATTTGCAAAATAGTTTAAGTATAGAAAACGGGAATGCATTTGAAAGTGCAATTTAGATATTTTATTTTTGCAGTCTCTTATCGTTCATTTTAATACATGTGAATACAAAAATAAAGAACTAAAAATAAATAAATAAGCAAAAATATTATGTCCTCAAGGGTAAGTTAACCTACGATGTTAAACAGGAGGCCGAGACATGATTAAATATTCGTACCAGCAGTTGTCAATTGTTGTTTACTCTTATCCGATTCAGCGACTATCCGAATTCACTGACAGTTTCCATAAATTTTCATTACTTAATCACGTATCATTGAATCGATTACAAAGGATTAAAAGATATTTGAATTCTTTTGCATTATATCAAAATATTTATAGAAGCTGACGAAAAACAATCAATTAAGCAATTATAGAAGATATCAAGGCAAGCTAAGTGTAATTTTCACACCTTCGCAGATCACACGTTTCACCCATTAATCAAGCGAAATAACACTTATCAATTTGGTGTATGTTTACACCTGATTATTTGTTATTTTGAATGAAGGTGTGACATTTGGCAAAATCTGTTCGGATCCGAGAGGCAAATTTTAGAGTAAAATAAGAACAAAAATTGAAAAAATCGTCCGGAATTCGGAGTAGACAGGTTCCGGATCCGAAAGGTTTTTTACTATTGAAAATAGAACTAATAAAATCGGGACCGGACACTTCGTTCGGATAAGAAAGGATTCCGGATTAGAAGGGTTCGGATTAGCAAGGCTCCACTGTAATATAGGGCCAGGCCAGCCTGCACTACCGTGAAGTTTGACCAGGCTCTATACTGTTGATAGCTGAATTTTTGTATTTTGATATTGAAAACCTTTGATTTTAAAATGTTCTGTACCAAATTCAAAGCAATGCAATGTTTTACACAAATTTTGCAGGTTTAGGGATATATTTCAAAATAGGAATTCATTTGAAACGGAAAAAAAAAATCAAAATAGTTTTTGTGGTGTTTGGAGCTAGTTAAATTAATAAAGTTATATCAGTTCAGTGAGTGTTGAGTAAGTCCACTTAGTGTAAAAGTTTGAACTTAAGTTTCGATTATTTATATATATTCCTGAATTTAGTAGTTGAAAATTTCTTTCACATATGTTGGAGATAATATTCTTTTCCATATTTATTTTTACAAAGTTAAAGATTTTGGTAATAGTGAATAAAAAAAGTTCTGTTTTTTAAATCATATTCTTAAAATGTAGACTTTTAGATCAGTATGTACAAATATATATTTGTTAATTGCCTATATGTCCTATATGTGAAAGGAAGTTTATGTAGTTTGAAATGGAAATAGGCTATACCTTGAATCATTTAGGAAGTCTCTGTTTTACCAATATATCATAGATTTAAAGAAAAAAAACAGAGAAAAAAAGGGATGTTTTAGTTTTCTTATCATCCCTTCTTTAGTCTCCGAACATGTTTATTCTTACCATGCTAAAAAAAATTAAATGGAGTTATCTTCCTTTCAATCTGGATAAAACCATTCCATCATATTTGGACAAATTTCAAAATCAATATTGGCTGAATAACAAACAGTTCAGGCCATGATAATATGGCATGGATGATCCAGTTGTTCTTTTATTTACTCCCATTTATATAAAAACCTCACATTAATTATAAAAAACAAACAAAAAAAAACAAAACAAAAACACAATTTTTTTCTTTTCAGTTTGCTTGCATTTTAATGATTGTTTAAATTTATTTTTGTGGAACATTTAACATTTTTTGTTGCGGTTGAGCATTCCTGGGCCATATCTGATTATTAACAGTAGATTTGGAGTTCTTTTATTTCATTGGTTGATTAATACATGACCTCAGGTAAAAGCCCCACCTCCTAAATTTTTTTTTTTTGTAAGTTTCTATCATTTTTCATCAGTTAGAAACAATTAGACTATTTAATTTGCTTTCCCCTTGAATGGTAGCAGTGATATATACATTGAAATAAATGCTGCTTTAATTGGATATTTTTTGTTTAATAATTATTCATTTGAGTGTTTGGGAGCTTTCCTATTTTTGATTGGTTAATGTTGAAAATATTAGCCACTCCCCAAATATAGCCACTTTTATTTGATTGGTTAAAATCTCTCATCAAATTTTGAGGCAGATCCCAGCTATATAAGCATACCTGTAATTGGTTGATGTTAGCTTACACTTGATTGGTAAATATTTCTGAAATGCAGAAAATCAGGGTACGTTACGATACCGAAATCAACTTGATTTCGGTAAAGTTACCGAAATCAACTTTTCATTACCGAAATCAACTCGTAAAAACTAGCCTAGTTAAAATATTGCTATTATTTCTTCATTATTTGATGAAAATTAGTAAAATAGACTTTCAGTTAAAAAATCTAGTGAAAATATTTTATTTTAATGATGTTATTAACAAAAATGTAATTAGAGTTACTTCCCTTTGTTCTACATCCAGTTATGTGTTTAGCATTACCGAAATCAGCTGTGGGGTTTAAATTATGTATATATGATACACATATGATACATGTATAGTGTTTATTTAAGATAATTTATGTTTTTGAAATTAAAGAAAACCCGACTGCATTGATGAGAGCGTTCAGTTGCAACTGAAAAGTAGAATATATTCATTTAACACGGTACAATATTAATTTGCGAAGTAAGAATTTTGTTCTAACCTATGAAATGAACTTTCGAACAGGGGTTGACTTACTTTAAGTCATTATGCAATAAAATATATTGCAGGTTTAGAGATATTTGATACGCAAATTATGTATTACATCACGACATTTATAACAAGACATTAGCACAAGCATGTTA